ATGTAACAGCAGCCAAACCCTGGCAAACCGGTCGAAAAAGGGGTTTAGGGTAAACAGGACCTGAAACCTGGGCAAGACGGTACACAGTACGCGAAGATAGCTAGTTCTATGTTGGTGGACAATATCCACTGCCTGATTTACCGACAATAAAAGAAATCAACAAAACTAACAGGTTGACATGAATTCCATTCCTCAATTCACATGTCCTCTGGCTATAATGAGTTCCTAGCAAGCCTCCAAGAGTGCTCTCTGACGATAAACCATTGGCTGAAAAAAGATGCGCCATCGAAATAAAAACGGGCTGATGGGATGTGGGGCATGCTGTTGAATCAAACTCCCACGAAGCTGACTACAGGGCTCAGAAAGTAAAATTAAGTCCGGATAAACAAATTAGTCAATGCTTTGGATAGATAAACAAGTAAAAGTGCCATGGTTCAAATCTCAGTGGATAGATAGTGCTGAGGATTTATAACAGGTAGGAAGAAACAGTTATATGTCGCTAACAAGGCTTTGGGACAATGGGGGTAGATGAACCCGGCTCTGACACGTTTCGTAAATTCCACCAACAGCTTCTGATGGACACACGTATACACGTTTTCAATCCCAATAATGATGAAAAATACGAGAAACTCAGTGCACGATGGAGAGGAGGGAGAGATTCACACGATAGGACAACAATGTACGACGGTGTACAATGAATAGAATGGCGATCGAGCAAAGCAACAATAATACTCACTTGGCTTCTTGTTTGCGTTGTCGAGCTCGAATCAGTTTTCGTGTAAGCTGTTCACGTTGCAAACGCAATTCAGCTAGACGTTCGGACAATTCGTCCCGCAATGCGGTCTTCAAACGTCGGCAACGTTCAGCTGCCTGTCGATTGGTCGCTCGACGTCGAGCATCAAGCATTGCCCCAATCTACAAAGTGAAAATGAATTCAATACGATCAGGCGTTCAGGAGCCTATGGATGAAGTTTTACACGTATATTTCGATCATTCGAATTTATTTAAACGGGGAACACACTATCGGCTATTCAATCCTTTATTATTCAACACCACCGGCTGATGGTGCCCCGATGGTAACGTCGCTAAAGTACCACTCAGGAGAGCGCTACTACTACTACCACCACCACCACCACCTGACTTTCCCCATCGTGTTGCAGGGCAGCCCTTTGATTGTCCACTTTATCCACTTTATTCAATAAAAGTAAGTAACAACACAAATGAAGTAGAAAACTAAATTCCCTCACCGCGTAACTCATCTGACGTGGCATCGCACTGCGCTCCTCCTTGGAGAAGCTCGAATGAACATATGTGAGAAGTAAACGTGTTAAAAAATTGTTTTTTTTAATTTAATTTAATTTATTGAACATATAAATGTACAAACAAATTTTAAGAAGAGGGCCGCAGTCATAAAAGGGCGGCTTAAGAGCATATGGATACAGGGAGTCCCGGGTCCCAATTTGATGAGCTAACCACTTGGCCACCACCACCACCACCACCACCACCGAGGAAGGAAAGCAAGAAGAATCGACACACTAAGGGTAAACAACTGCACTGTGCGCACAATAAATCACTGTCGGTATTCGCTCATCACTATGTGCAATAAACTGATCGTGAGCGAGATGACCGGAGACCGGAGTACCTG